AATGGTGGCACTTTCAAATTTAGCTGTTTCTGAGCCCAACTAAGCAGGGCCTCACCATGGGGTGATGAGGCCCCTGTCCTTCCTGGCCTGAGCTTGAATTTCGGAGGGATTTCTTTTTAACCCCGCTCTGTCTGTGGCTGTCTCTCACACAGTCGCTGCGGGAGGCCTGGTCTGGGAGCCCTCCAGTAAAGTTGTTTCTTAGTTGAGTCCCAAATTCAAATGATCAATTCCTTTCTGAAAAGATGCTCAATTAAGCACTCTCTGGCAATATGGTAGGTGCTCCCACTGGAATTCTTCTCCAGGTGTTAACTGCCATGTAGAAGAATCCTCTTTGGAGCAAACTCTGTGCTGCTTTTGCAGTCACAACAGCTGCGAACTCCCCCACTGTTTCTCTGTGGATCTTCTAGCCCTGAGTGCTTACCTTGCTTCTGGGGAGCCAGGGAAGGAGTCTAGATTGTTTCATTTTGTTCTGAGTTGTGGACTCTCTCCAACTTCTCTGTAGCCTCTCATTTTCCTGTTAGTTCTTTTCCGATTCCTAGCAATCTTTTTCTCTGCCAGTGTCTGGATTCTGGATCTCAGACGCTGAATTTTGATGTTGTTCACCACTCTGCCATTTTCCTCTCGAGAAATGTTATAAAAATATATTGGAACTATAAAAGATTTTTTAAAAGTCATTCATGATTTACTCAGCTATTTTTATTTCTGAATATATGTATCCATGAACTGTTTATATAGAACCTATTTTTATTTCTGAATATCTATATACTTTTAAATCTGTATTTATTTAGCCTACAGACTAGTGCATAAATTTTTGAAAATAGTTGAATTTTTACAAATATATAGACATCTTTATATCAACCATTCAGATCCAGATTTAGAAGTACACTAAATTTACAAATCAATTTGGTTAGAAATGACTCTTTCTGTCCTTCGACTTATTTTGAGTTCTTTTGGTAGTTTTATACTTTTCTATGCAGAAGTCTTACATATTTTTCAGTAGATTAATCTTAGTTTGTTTTTTTATTTTGGTATCAGGGATTGAACTCAGGTCCTTGCACTTGCAAGGCAGGCGGCAGAACCACTGAGCCAAATCCCTGACCCACAGATTAATCTCGAGGTAGCTGATACTCTTACGCTATTGTAATTAATAGTTTTCATAATTTTCATTTTAAATGCTAAAATACAGAAATAACTTGATTGTATCCTGTATCTTTACTAAAATCAGAATATTTCTAATAGTTTATATCAATTTTCTACATATACAATCGTGCTATCTGATTATTTCTTCCTTCTGAATCCTTGAGCCTGTTTTTCTTGCACTGGCTAGAATCTCCTGTACGAATCTGAAGAGGGGTGGGCACTTTTGGCTTTTTCCTCATCTTTGCATCAGTAGTTTTCAAAGGTCACTGAATTCAGTTGGGAAACATGTATAATATGTGCAAAGTATGCCAGTGTGAGCCAGTTAGTTGGCTGTAGTACCCTTCTCATTTTGAAGTCCCCCAGACGGAGACAAATTTATCATTTCACACAAGACCAGCAAGAATAACTTTTATTTACCTACAAAATAAAAACTCTCACAGATAATCCATGAGGTAAATCATAACAAGGGTCTCCTGGTTTTGAAAGGCTTTAAGAACCCAACAAAGGGGCCAGGGATTTAGCTCAGTGGTTTCGTCGCCTGCTGCGCAAGCGCAAAGACTCGAGTTCAATCCCCGGTACAACAGAAAAACAGGAAAACCCCAACAAATAGTGTTCAGCACTATGTTAATTGCTAGAGAAAATGTTCCTTTTTGAAGATCTTAAAATCTAAATGTTACAAACAAATCAATGATTATGCTGAAACCTAACAGCAACATCTTTTTTTTTAAGTTCTTTTATTGGTACATTTTAGCTATACAATTCATTTACGTTTATCATTGGGTGTTTGTACCTGTACATGATGAATCTTGGTTATTTTCTCCCCATTATCTGTGCGCCCTTCACTCCCTCCACCCTTCCCTATTTACATAGACATCATTTCCATTTTTTTTTCTTTTCTCATCATTTTTCCTTTCCCTTCTTTCCTTTCCCCTTCCCCTCCCTTCACCCCTAGGTCTTTGGGCCTTTTTTCCTATTTCAAATTATCAATTATTCATTTTAACTCTTATTTACACTATCAGTTTCTCACACTAGAGAAACTATTCGGTATTTACACGTGTGTCCTATTTATTTCACTTGAGTATGGCCTCAATATGCATCCATTTAGCTATAAATGACTCTAGTTTTTTGTTCTTTATGGCTGAGTAGTACTCCATGTTATTAAAAAACATCTTTATCCAGTTTCCAGTTGATGGGCACTTGGGCTGCTTCCAAGCTTTAGCTATTACAAACTGTGCTGCTATGAACATGGGTGCACATATATCGCTGTGGTATGATTAATTCTTTTGGGAAGATACCCAGCAGGGGAATAGCTGGGTCAAATGGGACCTCTAGTCCTAGTTCTTTCAGGTATCTCCATACTAACTTCCACAGCGGTTGCACCAGTCTGCACTCCCACCAGCAATGGAGAAGGGTTCCTTTCTCACCACACCCCTCGCAGCATTTGTTATTGGTTGATTTCTTGATAGCAGCCATTCTTTCTGGGGTGAGATGGAATCTTAAGTGTTGTTTTCATTTGCATCTCTCGAATGACCAGGGATGTTGAACATTTTTTCATATATTTATTTGCTAACAGCAACATCTTAAAAGCAGCAGCCTAGTGTTAAAGAATTCAAAGGTAGGAGGAGGACAGTTTAGGGATTTGTTCTGGAAAAAGAGGACATGGTTCATTAAGATAGATCTTAATGGAAATAGTGTGATTTGGACTAGAGGAAAGAAGAAAAGAAACTGCATTAGAGTAAGAGAGATACATATGAAAGGATGGAAATAGAAAAGACATGTGGCATCTGTGAGAACTCAGCAACTTGGAATTGGATCATTGTCAGCACTGGGCATGCTGTGTGGCTTCACATAGGGCACCAATGTCAGGTAGGTGTGTGTTTCATTTTGTGAAGATGGCTAACCTGTGCTCCTGTATCATTAATACTGAAATACATTCATCCTGTTTTTCTGTCTATAGTGAACAAGGAACATGAAAGTTAATTCTCTAATGACAGACTTTATAGTCTTCTATTAATTACTCAGACTGAGGCAGAATGCTCTTAAACAATGGATGGTGGAGCTCAGAGATGCTCAACCACCTGGGTCTACTTCTTTGCTTAGAAAATATGTATTCAAAATCAGGATCAAAATGTGTTATAGATATTAGGAAATAGGAAGAAAATGTTCAAATGGGAAGGGGAACAAGGAAGGGGAGAGGGGGAAATGAAAAGAAAAAGTAAAGAAAAAATATGGAAACAAAACGTTAATAAGGAGGGGAAGAAGGGTTGAAGAGGAGAGGGGCTTGGGGGAAAAAAGAATCAAGACATGTGTAGGTACAATTTCCCTATGATGAATGTGATTATGTATATCTAATATGCACCAATAAAATTAAAAAATATATCTACCCAAAACTCTGTAATGGTTAAGAGCCAGAGAAAGCACGTACATTCAGGGTCCTTGAGTCTCCACCATTCTATAACAAGTCTAAAGTTATTATGCGTAAATAATTTTAGAAATTTAGCAAGTGAAGCTATAGCTAAAAGTGATAAGGATAGTGGCACATATCTCTTAAAGCACATGTTAAGAAATAAGTGTGATAAAGTATCCACTTATCATTGATACTATGCTTACATACTATTTGGTCATATATTGAGTAATAATTAGAATACTTCCTCAAATTTTGGATTCACAAAAACCTCTGGCTTTCAGTTACATGTAATTTTATTTCTCCTAAATTGCAACACTGTATAATAAACAGATAAAGCTTCCTAAAGGTATATAAATCATCTTATCCATAAAGAATTCAGTGTTGGTCTGCCAAGTAAATCTGCAAGCCTCACAAAAACTTTAAAACAGAACTTTCATTATATACTCTTACTAATTTTAAATTATGTAGTTAACCAATTTAGATATTTTCTCCTAAACAGAAGGCCCCAAAATAAAGAAACATACACATAATATAGCAATAGTAGGTTATACCAATTTACTTCACATATATTTCAAGCCTATGATTTTCATTTAATATCAACAAAAACAATCTGTACAGAAAACCCAAAGGCAACCATATAGCATACATGTAAAATGTGCAAATATACTTTAAAATGTGAGTTACTGGATACCATTTGCAAGGTAGAACTTTATGGTCATTAAGGACTCCATCTCATTCTAGCTAACTTGATCTTTTGCATGTTTAGCCAATGCAAATGTACAAGGCACAATTTAGTGTTGATGCTCAAGTGTGTTACACACATCCTCAGATTTGAAGATGTTAAAATAACATAATGTCATGTTTATATTTTATTGTTTAATGAGACACCACTTGATTTCTAAAGCTTCATAAAGTATTACAGTTATAACATATATGTGACTAGGACAAACCTCCCTGAACTTAAAGGAAAAAGACCCTTGCTATACTATATTAAAAACAAATT